AGGTAACATTGGTTGCCCTCTGCATTCCCTGTAAAAGAAGAAGTTGATTAAGTCTCTAACTTCTGAAAGGGTGAGCTGGCAAAGTATACTAACACTTGTTCACAGGCATAAAGAAAGACTTGGAGAGAGACCAATGGAAGTAAAACCAATACCCAATCCATCAGCCGCAGCATGGATCAAAGGGCACAAAGGAAATGAGAAACACCACCCACTGCAAGCCACATTCCTTGTGCTCCTTTTGTGAAACCCAGAATTGCCAGGTTAGTCACCTACTACTTTCAAATACAATTTGAGAAATATAAAGAATAAAAATGGGGATGAACTGCTAGACTAAAAAGATCAAACGGATTCACTTTTTCTCTCCGAGTTAAAAGTTTCTGTCCTAGAACACTGACTTGCTTTTAAGTCTTAAGAGACCTTGTCACTGCAAATCCTGCAGGTTTTGTCCAACTTTCAGTTCAGCAGATACACCTCCAAATCACTCTGCCTTTACCTATGGCATCTTCAGTCTCTAGAACTGAAATGGCCACCATATATTCTGAGTTTTTTAAGAAAGTACTATTCCTAAGCCACCTATTAAAGAATTTAATTAAAAAGATGGAATTTTTGTCATATGATTTTAATTGAAACAAAGCTGTTTACAGACTTGTTTAGAACTATTTATTCATCATAATAAGCTGCTGTACAAATATCTTAGGTAAGATGATACTGGTGTCAAACATTTCACAATCTAAGGTGAGGGAACCTACAGGAAGCTCAGCCTCAGCATTCCCTTAAACTTTTTGGTATCTACCTACATGAACTTTGTTCATAAAAGATCAAGATCTTAAATAACCAGACAGAGCATCAACAAACAGAAGAAAAGGACAGTCCAGCCTCTAAAATTCAATGAAGACTGAATACCAACTCATAAGAAACCACCACCTGCCAACAGGTTATAACCATACAAAATGAAGTTATACTTGCTGATTCTGTTATCTTCAAATCATTTATCTCCTAAAACAAAGTTGTGTTGCCTATGAAGTCACTGCAATGCAGCTAACAAACCAGAAGTCAAAGAGCCAGAAAATCAAAGTCTTTCGTCTCATACTAGAAACAATTATACACTACATAACATTGGAGATCTGTGAGCAAACACATAAATTGTGAAATTCAAAAAAACAAAAAGAATTCAAGTACTTAGCCTTCAATTAAAAGACAGACATACTGTGCATGACGAACATATGCAGCAATTCAGACTAATCCACTAGTAGCAACATCCATTCTCATTGATTCCAGTTGTGCTGTGTTGTACTGGGCACTGGTTAAAGTCTCCAAGCACAGCTCCCATGCCACTGTCTCAGCAAGTTCTTTTACATTAAAACATAAAAAGACAAAAAACACACATACTCTGCTTTTGACTCCTGGCAACGAGTCTGTTAGCAGACTCAAGTACTTTGGAGGTCAAATGTCTCATCCAAGACAACTTCTTCCAGTCCATATCCAGTAAGTTAAACCAGTTGGTTTTGTTTTTCAGAACTAGCAAAGCAGCAATGAAACTGATCAGGGTATTGTGTTACGCTTACAAAACACATGAAACCCTAAAGCAGCAGGCAAGAGGGATTCTTAAAATGATGAAGGGGATGGCACTTTAAAAAATACAAAAAATATCAAGTAGTGAATTAGCAGAAATGACAAACCACAGCAATGAGAAGGCCAACAGATTGCTAGAGTACAAGGCACCCATCAAGTCCAGCAGTGGGTCAATAATCCATCCATACCACAGATGCAGGCATCAAAGACTAAAGGTTAAAGTGCCCAGTTCACATGTGCTCAAAAACCCTTCCCCAGCAGCCAGGGGAAGCATGTGCTAGGCACACAAGACAGCTCAGTACTTCTCCTAGGCAATGCAAAATCCTCCTTATCTTCCTCTTCTATCCTAGCTTTCCACTAGAAAACAGCTTTTTATAGAGGTGCTCTAAGGAGTAAATAATTTAGCAAGTCATTCTCTCTTGGTGCAAACACCACTGGTAATTTTTCCTAATGATGCCCACTTTGCTGCTAGATGATTCATTACCACCACTGAGCAACAAAAGCTGAACATTGAATCCTCAACAATGTAAGTTTTTAATTACTGTCCCAAACACATACACTTACTGCAAATACTGATATGTCACAGAAAAATACTCAGGAACAGAAATCAGTGGCTCACATTGATTGCACTCTTACATTACTTAGCCGGTCTTCAAATTCTGGTACATAAAATTGGTGAGTATCAACTGATGAAATTAAATGGCCATCCAGAATGACAGGAGAAATAAAGAACAGTCATTTCCTTTTACACTATATCAAAGCATCACTCACCTTTGAGATTCAAATTATCAATGTGAAATGAAACATAAGAAAATGAGTGACAGAAAAACTCAATGTGAGGAGCAAGTACTCTTTTTTTAAAACAAAGCTATTTTAAACTTCTTAGCCTAATTACATTCACTGTAATAGTCACTACTGAAAGGACACACTAGATTTTTGTAAAGAGGCTAATGAAAGTGCATTAATTCCAAAGGTCTATTTATCTGCTTTTTTTTTTCCGACCACCAGAAATTTCCTCTCTGACTTGCCCACAGAAATATTTTTTCCACCCCACATTACACATTAAGTGCTTCCACACTATTAATGTAAACATTGCATTTTTTGTATTTTCCTTCCTGCTCACGGTGGTACTACAGAAATAATGCTTCAGTCCCCTGTGTTCCACTGTGAGGGTAATGCCAGATAGTTTGTTTCTCACATGAAATATGAAATGCCATAATAGGCTAGTATCTTTGTACCAGAGACAAAAAAAATGGAGTATTAAAGTAACAAGCCTTTCACAGATGTGCATGGAGGAACTGAAACAATGAGAGCAAGGAAGGAGGACCCCACAACCTGCTGTTCTTGGCACGAAGGTAACCTTGCAGCTCTGCAGGTGGTTGACCAGGGAAGTGAATACAGATGTCTCAGAACTAAGGGAACAGGCAGAAATAAAAACATGGGGACCAAAAGGAAATAGTAACTCTGCTGATTTTTCTATGTAAAGGTTTGCTGAGATAGACTTCAATTTTTTTGTCTTATTCTTGATTTTTTTGCCCAGTTGCAACTATAATTTTTTTGCCAAGGCCAAATCTGAATGTCAAGGCTAAACACCTTTGATGTAAGAATTCACATCAGACACTCAAATGAAGAAAAACAAAAGTCAATATCAAAAGACTGTGGATAGAAAATATTATTGCTTAATTGTTTCATAGTTACCAGTTCACTACAGTGGCATAAACTGAACTCATTCTTCACTACTCCAGAGCAACAATGAAACATTGTGCTTCTACAGTAACTTTACATCGAATGTTAACTTTTCACAAAGCAAGACCTCTGAGGTAGGAAGTCGAGCCTTCAATGGCAAGCAGACACTCCCCAAGCTACAGCACCAACTTGACACAGTTTTGATGATGGAAGCATCAGGAAAGAACTGTGTAAAGAACAGGCATGGTTTCTATAGAAGCCATATATACTCAAAAAGCTGTGACTAATTCCATATTCTTCTTCTCTAGGATGACAGTGTTGACTCCTCAAGCTAACAACTCCTATACGTTAACAGCAGCAACCCATCAGCACCACCTCTGAAATGCAGTCTTATCTTTAATGCCTTCCCCATTTCCCAGTCACCTCAGATACTTTCTAGGCCATTTGCTAACTTGCTCACCATGTGCCTCTTGTAAGCCAGGAACAGCCCGATAACAACACACTTCCATGACATTTATTCTTCAGCACTGATAACTCAACCAAGTCACAGGCTTTGTTCTCTCTCCAAACTGCTCTCCTCAACAGTCAAACAGAAACTGAAGCAGACTGAACATTGCCCATTTTGTGTACATACAAACACAAGCAAGGATAACACAGTTCCAGTATAAAAATTCAACTACCATACATGCTAAAACAATGTCACTTCACCTGAGAGTCTACTTGTTCACATATTTACATGAGGTTTCAAGACCTGTTCCCCAAAAGATCTGCCAGAAACACCTTCTAATAGCTACTTTCTCAAAGTTTGTTTTGAAAATTTGTGCTTTGATTTGGACAACTTTTCTTGAGAAAGAAAGGCAAGCCCAAAAATGATACTTGAAAAATAAGATGTTATACAATTACTAAAAAACTAAGAATTACCATATTCCATATGGATTCCATATTCTAACAGCCGATAGCATTACATTTTTTCAAACTCACAGCAAAAATTCTCAGTTTGCCACGGTGATACAGTAAGGCATCTAAACACCTCTGCATGTAGCACCACCCAATCTGCCAAACATGCTCTGCTGCCACTTAAACAGACAACATCATCTTTGCCAGACATTCTAATGCTGGGACAGTTCAGAAAAATCACAACAGCAGAAAGCAGCCAGAATCCTCTATGGTACTGCAGATACAAGCAACTCTCTGATAATCGTGCTATAGGGAGTCTATCTCCACTTGCCACCTGCTGCAGGAACAACATGGCCAAAAGCAGAGACAGCTTGATCACTAGTGCTGGAGTAGAGTTATTGGTGGGCACCAGAGGGAATGGACAAAAAAGAAGCCAGAAATACCTCTGCTGTATATACTCTTAGGAACAAGATATGGAGCAAATTCTCACTAGATGGTACCTGCAAAATGGTCCAATGCCACAGTCATGTTAGGAATTAGAGCTACACTAAAGAAAGCGTTCCACAAGTCTTCCTATCAAGCTAGTGTAACAGCAGTATTACATAGGATAGAATGCTTTGGGTGGGAAGGGACCTTTAAAGGTCATCTAGTCCAATCCCATGCAGTGAGCAGGGACACCTTCACCTAGATCAGGTTGCTCAGAGCCTCATCAAGCCTGACCTTGTGTTTTGCCAATGACCAGGCCCAACAAAAATGATACTACCAGCAGGAAGATGAACCAATACACAGACTGTATTGTAGACAAGAATGACATTCCATGAATGATTGCTGTGGGTACAAACAGGTCAATCAGCTGGTACATAATTGACACCACCCCCAACGATCTCACAAAAGATGTAACTCAGCCCACAACAGGTGGAACAAACAGAGACCCGAGGTTGCCCACAGTTGGCATGGGAAACAGCCAGACCAGCAAGCTGAACACATAAGAGGAAGGTGCCCACATGGCAACTCTCACCTGATTGACCCGCGTTTGCAAAGGTCTTAAGCAGACTGGGGCCCACTCCAGGGAGAGTCAGGAGGTCTGCCCTGAACCAGGAAGCTCTGTGGAGTGCACTCCACAGACAGACACTCCTGACTCCCTGCA